CGTCCCACCCACGCGCCTTCCGTCGCGCTCCCCTCCACCCATGCACCATCTTCCATCCCCAGCCCCGTCGCCTCCCGTCTCGCTCCCCTCCATCTTCCCTCCCCAGCCCCTGGCTAACTTTTAGGGCTCCGCCCGACTCTGCGCCGCACGGTCTCCGACGGATCCCCAATTTGGGCCACGTGTGGCGTTGGGCGCGTGGCAGTTCCGTCTTTCGTCGGGTTACGGGTTGGCTTTTGGATGTATCATATACCTGGAACCTGAGTGTCAACTATCCCAAATATGGCCTTTTCCTATCAAAAAAGGGGTCAAACGGATTCTAGGTGTATATATATAATATATATTGTTTTCAATCTGCAGCTAGTCTCCAATAACATTGCAACATGGCTTCTGACAACCGTTCCAGGAAGCCTGGAGCAGTATCGGCCCTTTCCAAGGTTCGTTCCAACTCTACAATTTCCCACGTTGCGCTTGTGGCACATAACGCTCCTCCTGTGTCGGCCATGCCTTGACTGTCTGGCGCATGTACTGTGCACATTTTGGACACCCAACCCCATCGTATCAGCCCCGCAGCACAGCTCCACTCACCGCCCAACACACGTCCGCGAAGCATGAACCAGCACTACCCCCACCCATGCTTCGTTCTACTTGTGCACTGACCCGGAGCGGCCTACCATGATGCTCTGATGCTTGTGGTGCGACCATGTGCTCAACGCAACCATGTCTGCCGCACGCATTCTGCACATTTTGCACTCCCAAGACCATACCTCAGCCCCGCAACACCGCTCCATTCACCTCCCCACGTGCCTCCGCGAAGCATGGAGCAGCTACCCCCAACGCGCCTCCGGCCTCGCTCCCCTCCATCTTCCCTCCCCAGCCCCGTCTCCACCCCATTATGCGCCTCCCGTCTCGCTCCCCTCCATCTCTCCCATGCGCCTCCCGTCTCCATCTTCCCTCCCCAGCCCCATCCCCACCCATGCGCCTCCCGTCTCGCTCCCCTCCATCTTCCCGTCCCCA